ACTTCGGTCCAGTGGTGGCCTCAATCCCATTGTGTGGATTGAGTGTGTTTTATGATGTGCTCTGGTTCCAAGTGGTAATCGATCCTATGGTGGGGATATTTGGAGGGAGATGACCATGTGTTCATCAAAGTATTGGTACCACATGCATGAGTCAGTGTCGATGCATTACATGTTAAGTGACATTGCATAATTATGATTTGAATGATATTTGATGATGTTGTGACATAAGTGATATTTTGGTGATGATGATTGATTGATTATATATGGATGTTGTGAATGATTAAATGAAGACACAATGTGAGTATGTGTGTGATGTATGATTAATATATATGACTTATTGATAATTGTTGTTGTAACTACTATATTTACTTCTTATATTTTTTGTAATGATTTGTGATTACTCACCTTGCATGTTTGAATGTTTCCTCCACGTGGGTAACGCGCAAGTGATCAAGATTAGCTCGTAGATGTGTGGAGACTTAGCTTTGGAGTCATTTCACTTGATTAGGAGATGTCTTGCTCTAATATGTAACATCGGGGTCGGAAACGTTTGAGTGGAACAATATGTTCTTTATTTTTTAACTAATAATGAAGTTAAGAAGTTGTCTTTAATTGTTTAAGTGTTTTGAGTCATGACGTTGAATGACGGAGTACGAGGAAGTTTTCTTTGAAGTATTTTAAAATAAAGATGTTTTGAGACTAAGATTTCCGCTGCGATGGTTGAAAATGTTCATTGAGTATATTGATGAAATAACTGTTATAAATGATTTGAAAACCCGTGTTACAGAGCAGGTCGATCCATATTGATGTTTTTATGATGCATGTGACACCTTTCTTGGTGTTTTACTCTGATTTATATGTTAAATTATTCGTTGGGTTTAGAAGGGTGTTACAACAAGCAGCGGGTCAGATCAATTAGAAAATGTAAAGTTAAGAAATCAACAACCAGACTTCATCTTGAGAACACAAGCGAACTCAAGTGCACTCGAATTCCCTAGAGAAGAGAGTCATGCCCCAACCTGCGAGCTTAAAGCTAAGTGCCTGAAATATTGATGAAAAGTTTCAATGATGGGAAATACATTTAATGCGCTTGTTCCCCATTGATTCTGCAAACTGTCCAATGGCATTCCCACTTCTCCCTGTGGTTAATTTTGGTAACGAGATGTCAATCGCAGCTTTGAAAGACTTCTCGACTGATAAAACACTGGACAAACTTTGGGGGCAACTATTTTGGGCCGATTAAAGGCTCAATGCGGGTGAGATCCATATATCCATTTCAATCATACAAAGCCCAACAAAAATTATTCAACATATATAATCAACACATATGAGGTCTTCATCACCGTATATAATCACATATGAGGTCTCCATATATGAGGTCTTCAACATATATAATCAACAAAAATTATTTCAATCATATGTTCCAAGATAGAATAGTTGTGGTTCATCACCGTTGTTATAGAGGTCTTCATCACCGTTGTGGTTCATCTCATGAGCTCTAGGATTTTGAGCAAGAACTTCATTGTCTTCTTTGTTATAATTCTAACATCCTTTCCTTTTGTAAGTATCTATTAAGCTTATAGTATTTTTGTTCATTATTGTCTTGCATGTCCTTACAAGATGTTTGTTTTTCAAGTTTCAGCTTTGCTTCTGCAATCAACTTGACATTTAAAGGATTTTTTTGGGTTTTTGTCTTTCGAATTTCTGTCCTTGTGAGTATCCTTAGTTATTTCTCCATTCCTCGCCTGAGAAACTTCATGCATGTGATTGCATATAATAGTGCCTTTTCCTTTGTGCATTTATTCGTAGTTTTGAGACTTATTGGTTTCTTCTCTAATGATGGTATGCTCCTGATTATTATCTTTGCTTTTATTTGTATCACTATTCCTTTTTACTTCTTGCATGTTCATCTGATATTTCCTGTTGATAGTATTTCGACTATCTTCTTTGTTCTTTGGATATATTTTGCTAGGTTTGCAATGATCATCCAACTTAGCTTAATGATCAGCATTAATATCTCTTCATTTGTAAGCTTTTGTGGCTTTCCTACTTGTGTGAGTATCCTCATGGTTTTTGATATCTTCTTTATAATTGTTATTTGATCTGATATGAATTTTCTCTTTACTATGACTAGGATAACTTTGTTTCATATTAGGATTTTCATTCACCACATTGTGCATATCTTATGTGTTCCGAAGTATATTCTCCATGTTATCGTTTCTCTTTCTGTTCTCCCCATTATTATGCTTGCAACTGATTTCATGTATGTTGTTTTTTCTAAACAATGACCACTTATTATTATTTATTTCATTAATAACCACTTTATTGAGGACATGTTGAGATTTACTAGTACTAGATCCAGCTCCACTTAATGTCAAGTTTACAATCATTTAAGGTGATTGTTTGGTTTTTCAAGTTTATTGTTCTCTTCTTTTTTTATCATAGCTCTAGTACCTCTTTTGAATGTTGGTGTGGTTTTTTTTGTAGTTTTTCAGAACGTATATTTCCTCTTATTCATGTCATCCTCATGGGTAATTTTTATTTTTCCCTTTTGTCTTTTTGATGATTCATATTATTGTTTGTTCGATTACTGAAGATGATTCTGCTCTGATTATTAGAGTTGTTTCTCATAGGTCTAAGGTGGTCAAAGTTGTTTTCCTTAAAGGCAATACTTGTTATGGGTCGTTCAAAGACCAAATACTTGTGAGATCCATATATTTGGCCCAACCATAGAAACCCAATAAGAAACTATCCGACGTATATAATCAACACACGTGAGATTCAAGGTACGCTTTTTTGATCTCATAATTTCACTTCACTCATCGTGGAGTCAACTGACTTGGGCGTTAGAGTGTTAACCTTGCAGATCCACCCCCGCGCCATTGTATCGGAGATAAGCACAACAGCCTTGGAGTCTATCATCATCAATTAAACACGGTTCTGGTTCCAAGATAAAACAATGGTGTCGTCTATGAGAATCGACTCCTAATTCTCTAAAAATTCCACTATCAAAGCTCAATTGGTCCAACGTCAAATCGCTAAGAAATTGCATCTATAGCTCATTTCACTCCCAACCTCATATCAGAGAACTCCTCCTTTGGGTTTTCTGATCATACTATTGATATTGTTGGGCAAGTTGAGATGACACATACAACGACTAAATATCAAGGCCTAGGCACACATGTCGCCAAAGAATCCACACAACTCACATCGATGCCATGATTTTGGCCTGTGATCCCAAGCAAAACACTAGTTACGAAAACTTGTAAGAGCCGATCCTCATAACTCAATGTAGAGAGAAGAAACTCATATAGAAACAAAGTTTGCTAACTCGTATCCCATAAAAGGTAAAACCGATCATCGGACGATCATATGTGGACCTCCTAATGTTGATTGTCAAAGAGACATGTTTCAATCCTCTCAACGTGCAAGATAAGTATTTCTAGGCTCTTCAAAAATTAAATAAGTAGATATTTTACCTAACGAAATTTTGTACGCACAAATATAATCCTCAGCAATATGGCATAAATTTTCTTTGTGAAACAGAACCATACTAGGCTAAACGCATTTATGTGTGGCGCACCCTTTCCTTAAAAACTAGTCACTCTAAGAGCGTAAACAGAAGAACCCAAGAGACATCCACTCAGAACCAAAATAATACATGGGGACAGAAACAGGAACCCAATAAATACATGGGGACGAGAAAGGAACCCAACTCTTAACTAGGGATGGTTCCTAATGACAAACTTTAAATACATGGGGACGAGAAAGAAACCCAACTCTTAACTAGGGATGGTTCCTAATGACAAACTTAGATCGGCTATGAGTAATGAGAAGCTTACTAGATTAGCATTATTAATAATGTGATAGCAAAGAGTTTTTAGTGATACCCAACCTTGAACGTGTAATTTGCATCTTTACTGTCCATCCTGAGTCTCAAAGGAAATTTGAAGAATTCTATAGTTGTCATAGGGTAGGTTCCTAACCCGACTTTAAACCAACTTTGTTTCAGCCAAGAGTCTTCTTTTATCTCCCCTCTAGCTTCTTTGATGGAAGAATTAGAAAGATACTTATCTTTTATGCAATTGTAAACCGTAGAATCTTTATTAATGACTATTTTCCAAATCAGGATCTTCGGCAATGATGGAGAAAAAGGGTGATAGAAATTATAAATTTTCCATTTTAACTTGGAAATTAGGTGTATTCTTAAAAATATTTGGAGAACTAAAATTTGCTAAAAATAATTAGAGGGAATCTTGTTGATTATATTCATGTTGGGCGAGAAAGACTCTGATTAATGGTTTGTTACCTTGAGAAGTTAGGTTCACATATATTAAAAAGGGAAAGATTGGTATCTTAGTTTACAACTGATATAACAAATCAATAATAAAATAAAATTTAACTACTAACAAACAGCTAAAATACTACTGTATTAGTATCTTAGTTTACAACTGATATAACAAATCAATAATAAAATAAAATTTAACTACTAACAAACAGCTAAAATACTACTGTATTAAGCTAGTTTGGACTTCAGTCAGCATTTGAGATAGGCTTCAATATAAAAAGTATAAGAATTATAAAGGCGACAGTTAAAATAGAAAGTTCTTGATTACACCCTCAATAAACTGCTTTCATAGTAGGATTTTTATCTTTTATCACCAAAAAACAACTTTGATAGAATATAATCGTGAAAGCTGCATGAGGAAAATGAATATATTTGCCCCATGATGACATGTAGGAAAGGGCTGTCCCTCGACTTTAATAGCAACGGAACCAGAAACTCATTTTTTAATGACTATCTGAAATTGAAATGGCATCATATTGCTTTTTTACCAAAAGCAAAACTTATGGAACCAACTATTTGATTTTTTGTAACTCTCATTCATAACTTCATATTGCGAAATAGGATTAGCATCCATTTCCATGAATTTACAACAGAAATTAAGGTGTCAATAGTAACCTTGTATTGAGAAACTTGTGTACATCCAATCAGTATTTCACTTTAACCTCTCTCTGCGGAGTCTCTCCAATTCCTTGGTCATTTGCCAATGTTCTAGTGACATGCTGGTCTCACCATAGCTCAAGGACATGAGGCGGCCCATTGTTAACCACCTGTTCAGATAAAAAATAGGTAAAGGCATGCTACGAGCAAAATACTACAATACATGTATAGTTATTAGTCACTCACTATACCTGCTAAAATCTTGGATACTCAAGCTCCTATCTGCTTGTATTGCGTCAACTAAATCACTTTCTACCATCTGGAAACACCCATAACAGGAAAAAGGCTTATTATATGATCTCATCAAAAAGATTAAGAATGCTTGAAATGTCTTGGTTAGGAAAAATTATGTTTCAAAATAATAATGATGGAATTATTGCCCTGGAATCTATTGTAAATATCTGAATACTAATTGTGAATCATGTGCATGTTTTCAGCTAAGATACTTGTAGATTGCAGTGGATAGTGTAAAAACCAAATCTAAAATGCCACTTCTGTTCAACTTTGAGATTTCAGTTCACTAATATTTTGTCACATATAAGTGCCTGAGTTTTATTCTAAGAGTAGGGCTGATAGCTAACCCAAAATATTTAACTGGTTTAGTTTTATCCTAAAGAACCTTTGTTTAATGAAACTGTTATTACCACCATTCATACCTTTTCCATTCCTGATTCCATACAGTGTGGCAATTGTCTAACAGTACCCAAATACCACCTCCAAGCTTCCAAAGTTTCTGTTGACACAGATTCTGAGCAATTGGTTGCAGAAGGTCGGATAGGTACAATTACATCAGCTGGCAAGATATTTGATTTCCCCTCAGACAAAACTAGCAGCTGGACATCAGTTGCCATTTCCATTTTATAGTACTTGAAATCATAATCCACCTGAAATGCATACCGAGGGTGTCATCGTCATCTTTGAAAATAGATACAAGCAATCAATAGAAAGGAAAAATAGTGTTTCGTCATCTTTGAAAATAGATACAAGCAATCAATAGAATGGAAAAATGGTGTTTTTTTAACAAGAAACAATATTCATAGTGCAGAGAAATTTGTCTCGGGAATGAAAATTCACAGAATAATAGAACACGTGGCCGTGAAATAAGATTACCTTTTGATTCTCCATTAAATTTTTCAGTAAACTGGCATTCTCTACACCTACAGAATTTAGAGTTCCAGCTTCTAATTGTGTCTCATCAACAATCAAATGCGAACCTTCAGCTAGTTGCAAGACTCCAGTTTCTAATCTGGAGCATTGACAATAAAACTTGTAAATTTATCTATACTAGTAAGAAGTCCATGATCAGAAAGATTATCAAATATGAACACATACCTATTTTTATCATAATTCTTTTTCGGAGCAAGAGAAGCAGTGTTCAAGTATTCCACTGTAAGGGGTATGCAATGTGTGAAAGGCACAAGGTTTTTGATGGCAAAGCTTAGTTGCTTTCCGAATATAGACGCAATTTCTTTGCTAAAACAGGTAAAATTTACTGAAAACTTTCCAACAGCAAGAGCATCTACCCTGGCTTGCACCTGGTCAAAAGCAAATTAATCCTAATAGAAACACTATCAAGAATGGAGGGGGAAGGAACTGTGATGGTGTACCAAATCATTTACAATGCTTGAAAAGATATAAGGGGATGATCTATTGAGAACTGCATACCTTGGATAGGAGATGTAACAACATGAAATGAGCAGCGACGTCATCATTGCCTAGAACAGCTGAGAGATGTTTTATCAAAGACTCCCTGATACCTTTGACCAAGTCAGGTTTTGGCTGTGAGATCAACCACATGCATTAGGTGTTTTTAAATTAAGAACTGTCCCAATTCAAGATGATAATTGCAAAACATAAAGCATTTAATAAATCCATTTGGGTTTGTACCTCTATAATAGGTGTATTCTGAAGGAAGTCCAGAATCGAAAGTTTCCTGTGAATAAGACAATGAAGCTGTGGTACCTGCAACATAGGAGAGAAAATTGCAAACAAGCATGTTAAGATTTATAAACCAGATACTGAGAGGACGTGGGAACAATATACATCTGCATATTTAAACTTCTTTTAAGGCAAATTCAATTGGAAAAGCCTCATGGAAGCCTCTTACTATTCTCATTGACCAAGTACTCTCTAGGTATATATACACACCTTGTTAGGTGGGAAATTATGCAAGGGATCTTCACTAAATTCATTCAATAAATCCCTATCTTCACTGTCGTCCTGAAGCTCTAGATCAGATGTAAGGATACCCACAAACTCAAAAACATCATTCAGTCTCAGTTCGGACTCTGGTGTATCATATATCTGGCATGGTACCAGAGGTAAATGAGGAAATAGTTATGATAAAATTCAATGACATTGAATAAAAAAAGTTAATCTCATGTATCATAACATTCTAAAACCTGAAGACAATAAATCTTACCTTAACGATACAACTACCATTGAGACCAGGCATTAAACTTGTACATGAGCCAGCAATCTCAGGTACAGCACCCTGAGATTGAGAGGCAGGGGAAGGGTGTTCACCTTCTCTCTGTAAAAGAAATAATAAGACCAATTCTTAAAAAAAAAACAAAAATAAAAGGTTGAACCAATTATCAAACTGAAATAGGTAACTACTACAATACACGGATGATGGAAGTAGTTACAAAACATTAATCAACTAAATATATTATCAGTCAGTTATTCAGTATAAATACCACTAAATATATTATCAGTCAGTTATTCAGTATAAATCATAACACTCAAGATGCAAACTGAATAGAATACTAAATAAACTGCTCGTGAATAGATTAAACAGAACTTGTAAACTGAATAGAATACTAAATAAACTGCTTGTGAGTTCAAAAATCATAACTTGTAAACTAAATAGAATATTGATGATTTGAGCGTCTTATGGGATCAAAAGTCTGTAAACCGAAATTGAAAAATTAACATCATTTCTAAGAACTCTAAACAATATATTTAAAAAATAATTCTTGGATGATTCTATCCTATCAATCAAATTCACAACATATAATTGAAGTTGGATGAGAGTTGTCCCTACCATTCTTTTACTGTTCGGAGAGCCCTCAACAACGGCATCATTCTCAACCTATAAATCAACAGTCAGTAAGAAAGTTGAATAATAAACTCCCAATTTATGCACACACAAAAAAAATATGAATATCAGGGTGAGCAAGAAAATACATGCATATCAGATGACTCGGCATCTCCTCTCCTCCGTTTTTCTCTTTGATCTGATGTACGATCCATAGATAGATTGGCAACTGTTTTTGGTGTAGAATCCGCCCACGGACTTAGTCCCGGAATCTATGCATAAATAAATATTAAACCTTGGGAAAAAAACCTAGAAATCGAGAGAGCAACAACAAATCAAAAGCTCACCGGAACACAGTAAAGCAATCGACGTTCCCAGATCTGCTTATCAACAGAGGAACCCAAAGGAATAGGATATTGAGAAAAATCCGAAAACTTGTTAGTCCTCCACACGGAACCATCCTTCAATATACATTCACATACCCGAAATCAATCTCCAATTAAGCAAGCAATTCAAACAACAAAGATAAAAAAGAAAGAAAAAAAACTACCTTAAAAGTGCCAACATAAAATTCATTTCCCAGCATATCCTGAATCATCCCACGGAATCGAACAAGAGTATTGGGCTTGACGTAGTTGATTGTAGCTGGGGTGAGCAGCGGAACCTAATAGATCATAGGGTTTAATCAAGAGTAAATAATTAGGGTTTAATGTTGGAAGAGAAGAAAGTGGATGTTACCTGAGAGAGTTGTGATTGGTCGGAGAGAAAGTGGCGGAAGAGATTGATGGCGCCCCAGTCGCGGCCGTTTAGAGAAGTGGGGTCGGAACCGGAGGCTATGGCGGTGTCGAAGGTGGATCTGACGACGCCGAGTGGGTTCGCCAGTAAGTCGTACTGTGGACCAACCATTGTGAATCGGTGAGTTGTGAGTTGAGAGTGGAATATGGAAATGGAAATCGGAGTTAGTAGCGGTTAAGTTCTGTGCAGCAGCTTTGTAGGTTTTCTGTTTCCCGCCAAATCTTCTTAGACCGATCCTTCCCGCCATTTGATAACCTTCCTCTATAACATATTATTATTATTATTTATTGTTATTATTACTATTATTATTATACAAGAATAAGTTCTATTTATATTTTGGGCCGAGTAAATCTCCCTCAAAAAGGTCATGTATGTTAGTTTGGTCAGAGGCGAAGCACTTTGGTTGTAAATATGTCTGTCATCACTCCAACGACTTATAAAATATGTTTCTGACCACCAGAATATCATGTGTCTAGTTGCAGAACATTCATAGTCTAAGTACATTTAACAGTCCTCTGTTTTTCACGCCTGAAAGATAGTAAGGCAGTTATTCCTCTCCCTTATATATAAGAAACAATGTCATTTCAGGTAACAACAATATGAATATTCTCTCATTATTCACATAGTGACTTGAGCGTCAGAGTATTAACCTTGCAAGTACACTCATCACTCCATCGTGTCAGAAGCTCTCTTCTGATACAGCTTCCGCAACTCTTCCATTTTTGGTCCGCAGCGAAGCAATTTACAAGGGCTATATTTTGTACACAAATAAATTATATTTTACTTTTGTTTTGATGTATACTTAAAGTCTGTACGTATGTAAGAAGTTTATAGTATAAAATAGATGACTTAAAAGTGTACATACGTTGATTTATTATTTTTTATTGCAATGAACTTATGTTCCATAGGACTATGGATTAAACTTAACCATTCAATATATTTTCACATGCATCCTTTAGTCCTTCATATATAAAAAATAAAACCACTTAACAAATTGCAATACTTTTCAATCATGTATATCAAAAGTAAGAAATCACCGATGTAAAAATAAAAAGAAACTACATGAAATGACAATAAATTCAAATCTTGCATCATAATAAGTGTATCACCTCAATAAGAAGACAATTTAACAGACATATTAGGTTGATTTTTTATTTCATGTGCCATTATCATCCAAACAATAATATACACCTTTAATAGTTACCATAAAAACTATGTCATGATGATTTTCATTCATCTTAGGATCATACACGTGGAAATTGGTACAAAATTGATTCTAGTATATAAAACATGCTTTAAGATCAAGATTTTACATTTAAGTGAACATTTATCCTTGAAAAAAATGTCTTATAAGAGATTAAATCGTTGAAATATAAAGAATAAGTTGAATCTTACCTTAAATGTGTGTGTGTGTGTGTGTGGAGAGAGAGAGAAGAAGAAGAACAAAACAAAAGTAGTGGCTTGGATGATCGAATATAACGGTGATGGAGCGGAGGGATACGAGTAGAGACAGATGAAGCAAATAGAAAGAAACCTAGTTTTAGAAGGATGGAATGAGATTATATTTATATAAGAATAGGGAACGTTTAGTTTTTTTCTAATAAAAAGGGGGAATTTGTGGATTGGGCTCATTAAAGTACTGCCCAAATTTTATTATAAGTAAAAAAAAGTTGTAACAATAATTTTGCGGGCAAAACCTGGCCTGGCCCACTCTCGCCCCATTTTTAGGCGGGTTAGGCACGACAAGCCAACTTAAGGCACCAACCCCAAAAACATATGCCCCGCCCACAAAAACTGGTGTGTTGAACGGACCAGGCATGACATACCTGATCCGTTTTTCCATTCCTAATGTCACTTAAGTCTTAGTATAATGTAAGACCCAACAGATGGGTGACCTAAGAGACAAGTAACCAAGATAATAGGTGATCTATGAGATATGTAGTCCAAAGGGTGAAAATTGGCATAATTAGATAAAAGCCCCACATGTGGTAAAACATGCCGCCTAAGCCTTACTACGATGGATGACTAACTTCATAAGCGGTCTAAGAGACAGGTAGTTGAGTATATGGCCCAATAGATAGGTATCCTACAAGATACATATACAAAGAGGATAAGAGTAGAGCTTAAAATGCAAAGAAATGGTTCAACCAAGTTCTAATATGTTTGGTGGCCTTGTAGATGAACATGCCTCAAATGCACACCTAATCAAGACTGGCAAAGACCTTGTAGACTATCAGATGAAAGGGACCTGTATGATCCCCTAACATTTGTTCTCTGAGACACCCAAAGCAAACATAAGGTTCTAGGTTCTTGAAAACCTCGGGACCTTGCTACAAAAGCATAACGAAAGCCTTATATTCATGTACACATTATTATTTTTACCTAAAATCACCCCACTTAAGGATGTCACTAACTTGAATGACAAAGTATTTACAAGTACTTTGCACGTCCTTCTTCCACCACGACCTACAACAAATATGATCCTTCTTCATTATAACCGATGACAAAATTTATTCTTCTTCCACCATGACCTAGGAGTTATCTGGTCCTTCTTCCATGAGGAACAATGACATGGTTGATCTTTCTTCCACTAGAGCTTAAGACGAATATGGTCATTCTTTCACAATAAACTATGAGGAAATTGTCTTTTATTTCATTAGGTCGTATAATGGGTTTGGTCATTCTTCTACCAAGACCTACGACGAAAATTGGTCATTTCCCCCAATGACCTATGATTGGAAGTCATGCAAAAAAACATATCATCCTCCATCGATCTTCCATCTCCATCGCGAATTCGAGTCATATGTTATAACATTGGCAATGTATGTGGAAACGACTTATCTTTCATGTTTTTTACTAACAACCATAGTTGTTCTGAAAGGTCATACAAGCGTTGAGACCTATTCCTTTTAACCATTAAAGACTAAAATATGTGATTTTTCCATATAGTGTCAACATGGTCATGCAAACATTAAGACTAATGCCAAATTTGATGTAAACTTCAACAACTCCAATATTTCCATCTGATGTTAAAATATGAAGGAAAAAAAGGAAATTCAAGTTTGTGTTATCTAAGAAAGGATAAGAAACTACTTAACAATTATGTTAACGGTTAAGTGGATTGTCACATTGTTCATTGGTGTTCTTGGTAAACAATCACTTAGTTTTGAGTTAATTACTTGAAGGACCAAACTATTAAATCCTAAGGCAAGTTTACGTTAAGTTTTTAAGAAAAGGAAGTATGTGTTCATTTTTGATGAATTTCTTATGTACTGTTGGGTGTTTTCAATAAAATAAACTCATGCGATATGTCTGATAGACTGATTTTTGATTGGGTTAAATTTAGCATTTGAATGTTAAAAAGTAAACAAACAGTAAAGAAATCTAAATGTAGAAAAAGTGTATTTGAATAAACGTAAAATGGTTGACAAATACATTTTCTTTAGGAAAATAGTTTCTCTTAATGTGCATATACTTTGAGTGTTATTGAAGTTGACAATGTTTTTGTCACCCTGTTGCACCCCAAAATTTGACAAACTGTTTCTTGTATTTGGCTTATGTTTCGATTCATTTTGTATTTGTATCCGCATACCGCATATTGTGCATTTTTGCAGCCGGATTGATTTAATCAGGATTACATCCCTTTTCCTCGTGTTTCAGACATTTCAAACCGTTTCGGATACGAAGATCTATTTCGGAATTTGCGCTCTGCCCGGTGATTTAATCTACGATGTTGGTTTCGGTGGTATTTCGGTATCCGGCTTTATTACTGTTTATTTTTTGTCGCATTCTCGCATTTTATCGTTCACTGATTTTATTTTATTTTCTAGATTTGTTTCCTATTTTCGGCATAATTTTTAGATAATTTTTGAATTTAATTTCTTTTTTCTAGAGTTTTTTAAATAGTTTTTTAGATTTATTTTAGATTTTATATCTAGTTTTAATAAATTAATTAGTTTTTTCTATTTTTTTAATTTTGTTTCTAGAATATTTAATTGTTTTTAGAATATATTGAGTTTTATTTTTACTTTTAGATTTTATTAATTCTTTAATTTAGGATTTAATTAGAATATTAGTTTAATTGAATTAATTAGTTTAATTTGAGTTAATTAGTGTTAATTTTTGTTTTAGTTAATCAGCTTTGTCTTTATTAGCTTTTAATTTTCGGTTTAGCTTTAATTAGAATTTCATTAGATTTAGCTTTAGTTAATCTGCAGTTATTTTTCAATTTAATTAATTAATTACAGCTTTAATTGTGTCAGATTAATCATAATGTTTGCAGGGCCACTTGGTAGTTTTCGCAGGCCCAATACAGTGTAGGCTGACACTTGTCAGTGCTTTAAATAGTGCCATTAATGGTTGACACATTTTCCAAGGACATGCAAACCCTAGAGTGCTTCACCGGCAAAATCAAACTCAGCCCATCTCACCGGAAAACCCACCGGGAAAATCATCTATCTCGCCAGAAACTGCATGTGTTCATACCACATTCATCCAGATTTTCCAGCAATGTTCATATGTTCTTCATCCGTTTTCCAGCAACTTTATACGTTCATATTTTATCACCAGATCTAATCACAACCTTCATCATGTTCAACGATTTAATTTTCCAGAAACACAACAAGTTCATCCGTTCATCATGTTCATCCGATTTACCCAAAAATTCATCAAGCATCTTCAAATGTTCGTATTATTTTTCCAATTTCTTCATCCATATTCATCATACTCAAACAATTTTCCAGAACATTCATAACACCTTGAATGTTCATCTTCTCCAGTTCAACCCTCACCGACCATCTCATCTCCAGATCTCATCATATCCACCTCCGATCAGTCTCAAACAACATCAAACCATCAGCTAATCTTTCATCGCAACATGCGGATTCAAGATCGTCAACAAACTTCAAACCCTCCGAGGTTAAACCTAGATCGGAACCCTTATCTTCACCCTCATGAACAACTTTCTAGATCTGTTCAAAGATCTTCGTGAATGAACGCACCAACAGCATCTCCGGACCCAAAACCATTTCCAGATCTGTGAACCAGTTCCTTCAAACTCTGAATCCATAACATGCAACTTCAGATCCTTCAAGAACACCTTCAACCTTCTT